CAAGGATTCTAGAAGAGAAGAGGCCTAATAAACCTGAGCATCCATGGCTCATGACTGAGTTTATTTCCAACTGCTTCAAAGTCACGTACATAGTCTGCCATTGACATATTTGGGATATTTTTCATACATGCATAATTTCCATTGACACATTTGGGAGCATTTTTATTTTTCGAGAGCCATAAATAAGGCATGTAACCGAGCAACGAAAGTATCATCTTACTTCTACTAAAGCACATCCCACATTGGTTTCACCTTGGTGAATCCCTCGAATTCACGAATGAGTTCATCGACCATAGCACTTAGCAAAGTAAGCGAGTGTTATGTTAGCATTATCCCATGTATCATACTCACGAAGAAGTTCCTCTACGGTACCTTGTTCAGCTTTTTGCTTAATGGTAATTAAGTGTTCAAGAGTACCTTGCTCATTTAGAGGGAAAATTCGTCCCACTCAACTTTTCACCTTTAGGGGGATACGCGATCACATGTTTAGAAGCGATTCCAAGTTCAAGATAACAAAATTGCATTGATTAATGTGGATGTCTTATGGTTTTTTTAATCCATGATTGCACTTAAATTATCACATGTTCATTGTTTAGATACTAGAAAAACTTGACCTCTAAAAGTCGTTATATGAAAATTTTACATGGCCACATTGTGCTCTTGCTTGTAATCAATACCAAGTTTCTTTCTTGGATCCAGTATCTCAAATACCTCACAATTTGTAAGTGGTGCATCGTCCTAGATGCACTCCCATTAAAAAAAGGTCCTTATATGTAGACTTAAAATGCTAAAGAAAATAGTAGGGCCCACCATGCACGACTTTGCATGTAAGGCCTATCAAGATTAGTCAGCCATGATTCTCATGGATGAGGAGGCATCAACTTGCAAAGCTCATGTATAAGGCCGATGATTCCTCAGTGCATAAGGCCTACATACTATGTAGTCAGTGCATAAGGCTCCATGGAACACCTGCCCATGGTCTTATTATAACTAGCATATGTGCTTTGTAACATCATAGCCAAGCCTTTACAAGTAAGGAATGTACGATAATACGGGCAGAATCGGGAACCAGATTTCATGATAACTTTGATACCAATGTTGAGAAAACAGTCCAACGACCAAAACAGAAGCAAAAATTAAACAACCAGGGGCCGAGTATCATACCTGAGTACTCGCACACATGTTTTAGTGAACGAATGTGGAGATGGATGATCAACTATCGTATGCAAGTTTGACAACTACTAGAGCTGCTAAAATAAGTTCCACACTACAAATTCCAAGTGAGGTTGAAACTCACAAATGCAATATGAGGAGCAGTCCGAGCTTGACTCTCAAGCAAAACTCTTTATCTTTTTGGGTTGGGTCTCTCCTTAGAACTTAAATGGGAGAGTGATTGTACTCTCTCTCTCTTTCTCTCTCTTTCTGTACTTCTCTCTCTCTCAAGAGGATCTCTCACACCCTTTATCGTGTTTATTATTGTGTGTGCAAAAACATCTACTCCTCCCCTTTTTATAGTGACAGAAAGCCCCCCCCTCCCCCCCCTCATTCATGAGGAAGTAAACTTTTCATAATGTGAACCATTATAATACATGGTGCATGCCATTCATGGGAGGCTAACCCCCTTATGGAGAGGTCAACATCTCCCCACATCCGTCTCATGCAGTAATGTAAGTCGTGGAGTGTGGTCTATATGGGTGTGCCCTCCCACAAGGGATGCATCCTCATGTCTACATGTAGAAATATAGCCAATTTATAGGTGATGTTTATAAGTTCATGGAAATGGTTTATGGCAACAAAACTATAACATTTATAATGTTTTGAAGACATGCCTAACTTTAATGGTTTAATGTTTGCACCTTATACAAACCCCACCTGATAACGAATGATAAAGGCTAGGATTTTCATTCTAATAAAAAATAAAAAAGTATTTTCTAAAACCTAGGATTCACTTCATACACTTTCATGAGATTCAAGAAGTCCCAGGAAGCATAAATGTTATTAGGCCTAGGCTGCATTTTGAGTCTCCTTAGCATGGTGTCTTGCATGTTAAATTAGAGAACTATAGAATGAAATTCCAAATTAATTTTTGAAACAAAAAAAAAAAAAAAAAAAAGAAGAAAAGAGGTCCTATGAACTAAGAGAGGCACACTGGTTTCTGTTAAGATTTCCTCACCAATAGACAACTGGAGTCTCTACCGAAAAAATTGTTCCAAGTATGAAATCTATAAAATTTTCATTGATGATTCATGTTTGGAATTTTAATCGGGATGCTTTTTAGGCCACTTTTGTACCACTACATAAGAGAGAAATTGTAGAACTATTTAACAAAAATGTTTAATAGCCTTATACATTCTCATTCCCATGTCTTAAATAAATAAATAAATAAAAGATCTCAATTGGGGAGGTCTATGTAATTTACTCACTTTATGTCAGTGGGTCATTACCTAGTAGAAGTTGGTTTGTGGGGAGTTATTCTTAGTGGATAGTTTATCTAGTAGGAAGTTATGAGTTGTGGGAAGTTATCTAGAGAAGTTGGCCATGTAGTTGTTTGTAGGAAGTTATCTAACGGTTGTAAAGGCCTATAAATAAGCATAATGTAATGGGATGTAACGCACCTGTTGCACTTGTGTAGCACTTGTGAAATGAAGTGTGCGTGATTTGCCTTTTTAGTTCATACTTATCTCTCCAAGAGCAACCTTGTTTTAAGAAAGAGTACCGTTGCCCCAAAGAAGATCCGCATTAGAGAGCATAGGTTGTCAAAAAGATAAGCATTGGAATGCATATAGGTTGCCAAAAAAGAAGACAAATTGCCAAAGAGATAGGCATTAGTGTGGAGATTTATTACTTACAGAGGAGATTTAAGACCAGCAGGTCAGAGACAAAACTTAGAGGAAAGCTGATAGAAATTGAAATATCTTTATTTAATTTACTGCATTATTCATATGGCAAACAATAATAGTCGAAATATTTCTCAACCATCAATTCCAATTTTTAAATGTGAATTTTATGAGCATTGGAAAATAAAAATGAAAACAATGTTTAGGTCTTGATAAAAAACGAAGAAGTAATTTTGCATAAAAAAAAAAAAGGATGAAAATGTTAAATAATTTGCAATGAAAAGAAAAAGAAAAAAAAAAGGAAAAGGAAAAAAATAAATTAATGTGATGTTCTTGGAAAACAAGAAGGAGATTTTTTTTAGAAAGGGGGAAAACAAAAATTGGAAAGCTCTTGACGTCGTGTTTTAAAACCTCATTTCTAAAAATGAGGTTTTAAAAAAAATTATTATGAAAGGGGAAAAGAGTAATCCTCATGAGAAATCTATGCTTTGTGTATGCGTAGGAAAACTGACTTTTTGAAAAAAGAAGAAAAAAGGACATCACAATCCTAATTTGTCCTGCCATGAAAAGGCATGATGGGAAAACCATGCCTAGTGTAGGCATAGAAAAACATATTTTTGAGAAAAAAAACAAAAAAAGTACACCGCAATCCTAGTGTTTCATGCCATGGAAGGTAAGATGATGCCATGATAAGGCATAAAAAATGGGGGAGAGAAATTTTTCAAAACAAAAGGAATTAAAAAGAAAACTAATTAGTGCAACGGTCTCTTGTAGATAAGATATTAAGAATATATGGCAATTCCCAATCTATAAAGAAAGTTGAATGAATTGTGTCAAAATCAAAAAAATTGATAAATCAATTTATAAAATTATCAAAGAAGGACCCGATCATTATTCCATTTTTTGTATGTGAGATAGAAATGGGAGGAAAAGAATTTTCTGGTCTCCTTAATGAAACAAGAAAAGAAGCCAAACACCATGCAACTTATTTTGCCATATCGCAATTAACAAAAATGAAAGAAATCATTTAAAATTTAAAATGATGAATAAGTGAGTATGAAGATTGCAATGAAGAAAAAATTTATGAAATGAAAAAGCATATTGAAAATCTTGAAGCGTTGGTTTCTACACTAAATAAAGGAAATGAAGACCTTTGTAATTCCATTGAAAATATTGTATAGGAAGTTAAAAAAAATTAAAAAATTGCATGCAGGGGAAATGTTGGAAATACTCACTCTATGTTAGTAGGTAGCTATCTAGTAAAAGTTGAGTTGTACGGAGTTATTGTCAGTGGGTAGTTATCTAATAGAAAGTTATGAGTTTTGGGAAGTTATCTAAAGAAGTTGATCACTTGTGAAAAGCTAAACGCTTATAAATAAGTACAATGTAATGGGATATAAGTCATTTGTTGCGTACCTATGCAAGAGAAGTGTGCGAGTGATTTGTCTTTTGAGTTCCCTGTCCAAGTTTTTTGAATTTAATCTCTCTAAAGTACTCACACATATTTTAAAGATACCAACAATTGTATCAAACCTTTCCAAAAAAATCCAACAAATTTCTTACTTGTTTGGGTTGAATGTTTTTCATAATTTTCATCTTCTTCAAAGCAGCGAGAGTTTACCAAAGATAGATCGTAATCTCCCTCTTTCAAATTAAGACATGCTTAGAAAAAAGTGAAGCAATTGACAAAGCTACTTTTTCTTCATGTTTTTCACAGTTAATGCGATCTCGCTCTTGGAAAAACCCTAGCCATGGCTTCTGTGCTATAATCCAGCCATGCATACTACCAATTATAAATTCATCCTATTCCAAACCACTAAAAATAAAATGGAAGAAGCTTCATAAGAATAGTTGATACATTACTCTGTGAACGCCTTCGATATTCCTGGGCACAAGAAAAAGAAACAAAATCAAAGAACCCTCAGACATGTGATTTAGGTGGTTTAAGTAGGTTTTTTTTAAATCCAAAGCTATCCATATTTAGATTGAAAAGAATGACGGACCAGCATTCAAATAGATACAAGAATATATGACCTCTACGAATTCTTGATAGAGGAGAGAAGAATCAACATACCCGAACCCCAAATAGTTAAGAAAGTGTTGTGATGATGATGACGATGTTCACATAGAGAAAAAGAGATGAAAAATCATAAGAGCGATGAAAAATCATAAGAGCGAGAGAAGCTTTAAGGTCTGCAACATAATTCCACATTGCAGCAGTCATGCCATAACCAATGCTCAAACCAACAACTGAAATGTTCTACTTACTGACACCCATTGTCTCTCTCTACTAGGAATCAACATTTTATTCCACAAATACTGACAGAGAGAAAAATCCCATCACAATAATAAGATTATTAGAACCCAAATTCCTCATCGCTCAACTGCTTCAGATAATTAGAATCGATAGCCCTAACAGAGAAAACAAACCCCAACAATTAATCTCAGAACCAGAGAAATCAATAAACCGGCAAAGAAAAAGATTATGTCATGATGATCTATATAGTATATACATAGCCAACCCACTTTGCAAATAAACCCTAACTGGTTAATTGCTCTTCATGCCATGAATGAGTAGTTAGCCAAAAGCCAGAAACTAAGTCAGGAGAATGAAAAGTCCCTTGGATCCGAGGTTCCTCTCAGAGCAAAATGGCGAAGAAGCCCTTGCCAAAAACAAGCTTTTCCCCTTACTGCACCTGACATGAGCCCTCCGATCCAAGCCCCAGCGATGTGAAGAAACGAACCAGAAAGATCACTACTAAAAACACTTTGAAACCAGGCCGAAATAGTTGCAGCCAAATTGGATTTGGACCCCTTATATCAATGGGGTCACTGATGAACTGTAGCTTGAGATATCAGGCCAAGATGTTGTTGTGGACTGGTTCCAGTAGAGAGGAGAGGGGTCATTTCCTCCATTTTCGAAGGCATTTGCAGATGGCATTTGCCAATCCATTTGGCCGAGCCTGGAAGCGTTATCTTCTTCGAGCTTCACCCCAGCTCTTAAGGATTCGGCCCTCCTCGATCCCTCCTCGAAGGGAAAGAGGAACTGCAAACTCTCATGGCCGTGACCATCCTTTAGAGAGAGAGACAACTTCTGCTGCTGCTGCTTCCACGGTGCATCCATTGGCCCCTCAATCAAAGGGCTACTAAACCTGGAGAGATCAGGGAGGAGAGAAAGAGGAGCTTCCTGAACCTGGTGTGCAGGATTAAAAGAAGCAACCTGGTGGTCTTGAAGATAGCTCGAGAGAGAAGAAAATTGAGGGAGATGAAGAAACTCAGACCCACTTGTCAAGGACGACGAGGTCGGGAAGCCCAAATTCACATCAGCAGCCGAGCTCGGCAATACGTAAAAGATTGGGTGGTTCGAGCCCACAGAGCCCTGAAGGGTGCAAGCCAGATCGGTCGCAGGCGACGAAGAAGTGGGCGGATCGACAGATTGACTCCCAATATTGTTGTTGCCACTGCTCTGATTCTCCGAGGACGTCGTGCTAGATGATGGCCCTCCTCTTTTGATTCGCTTGTTTTTGCGAGAGCTCCCGCCAACGGGCACATTCCTGAGGGTGCCGCCGCGCGTCCAGTAACGCTTGCAGGTCTTGCAGAAGTGGCGGGGCTGGGAGAGGCTGTAATTGTTGTAGTAGCAAAATTTGGTGTTGGAAGAGTCGCATCGAGGGCATTTCAGGGCTTGATCAGGAGGGGGTTTCAGGCCACCGGCCCCTCCTGTTTGTTGTTGCAGTTGGCTATGGCGATGATCCATGAGACTCGAAGAAGAAGATGACACCATATCATCAACAAGAGGTTTCGGTGTGATTCCTCTGTCATGTACCTGGATCAGTCTCTGCAACAAGAAGGAGAAACGAATATGAGAGATGGAAAACGCAATCCATAACAGTGATGTATTAGATATTCCAATCCAAAAGCTACCAAACAAGAAGTGCGTTGTTGGGCGGTGAATAATTGAGAATTTGAGAGAGATGTTTAGAGAGAGAGAGCGTGCCTGTGGCCACTGCGTCGAGTCCATGCAAACTTGTGGAGATGGAAGAACCATGCCGGAAGTCGCCTATTCTCTCTCCCTCTCCAGATTGGAGAAATGAATGGAGACGGAGCACAGGAGCAGGCTTATTCTAAAAGGAATTCAGGTCTAGAGAGAGAAAGCCTTCCAGATGGGGAAGGAATGTGTAGAGAGAGAAAGTGATCGGTGGAATGAAATGGAAGGGCAAACAAAATTACATCCCATGATACATGGGTCCCCAGTCCCCCACGCGCGACCCACACTGTTCGATTTCACAAACCCAATTTCTTAAACAAACAAAAAAAAACCCAAAAATACCCATCAACCAGTGCTTCTATTAAATAGCAGAGGAACAAAAACAAGACTCTGACCCATTAGAATGGGTGGAAAGCCTAGAGAGAGAGAAAGAGAATGGAAAGCATTTCGGGGGTGTTGAGTTTTATGGAGGAGAGAGAAAGGGACGAGGAGAGAGAATCCCAATGGAGCGTGACACGATGAGATGTTGAGTTTTATGGAGGAGAGAGGAAAGGGAGGAGGAGAGAGAATCCAAAGGAAGAGAGTCACGGTGAGGCATGAGAAGAATCCTAAAAGTGCCCTACCCCCTCAATATACGAACGTAGCAGTCACCTCTGTACATGAGCGAAAAATTCCAAAAGAAAGGGACAAGACCCCGGCCCATGTGGGGGCGAGCGAGAGTGTGTGCGTGTTTGTGTTTCTAGAGAGAAGAAGAGTTTTTAGAGAGAGAAACAAAGTGAAACAGCCATGGAAAACCGTTAGGGCAGAGTGCAGTAGCTGTGTCAGGCAGTGGGCTTGAGAGATTTTATCATTTTAATGGCTTGAGGCCCATGTGGGCAGCTCACCCCCAAGCTCAAAAGTGAAGGGAACAAACGGATTTTGTAGTAAACCGAGGGATCTTCTCCTACACCCCACAATTATTCCCCTCTCTTTCCTCTCCTCTCACCTTAATCCCGATGTCGCTTTCTCTCTCTAACCTAGAGAGAGAAATCGAAACCAGATTTGTCCAATAAAACGTGAAATATGGAACACGAGAGAGGAACCGCGACGAAAGGGTGGCTGAGATTAAAAAGAGAAAAAAAAAAAAAAAAGAGGAAAGAGAAAAAGTAAGGGTGTCGGTCGATTGAGTGCTGGTCAGTGTGACTAGCAATGGGTCCTACCACCCACTACCACGAGTCTAGAGAGAGCGTGAGAGTGAGATTCCCGTTGCTGCTACACACGAAACCTGAGACGGATTGCTGGGAGTTCGAAAAATAAGAGGCGGGCGGGGGGAGGGGAGGGGAGGGGAGGGGAGGGGACCAAGAATCAAACCCACGCAAACCTAACCCCATCCACCCTCCCCCACCATGAAGAGGATGACAAACGACAAAGATCTCACTCTTATCTCTCTTACCAATATTATATGTGTATTTGCTTGTGCTTCCTCATCTATTAAGAGCTTTTTTATGCTTCCGCCTCCGCATCAATTAATTTATGCTCTTCGCCTGCTTGCCATTGCACTCATGACTGACTCCATCCACTAGTCTACTTTCTCTCTCTACACCACCTGGCATTCCCTCGATTCTCTCGCTCTCACAGTTGAGCTTTGGCCCCACTTTCTTACTGCCTCAAGAATCTCAACTCTTCCTTCACATCTTGTTACGGGTCCTAGTCCTTTTCCCAACGGAATTCCACTCTCTCTCTCTAACAGTTTCCCTCTTCCGTGGGGTCGCCGAATGTCCGCGGGCCAAACATTTAAAAAACCCTAAATATTATTGTGGAATTTGGGCGATCCACGGTTTCTCCCTACTCACCTCCTTATAATATAAATTGCTTTCCCCTGATTGATTGATATTTTTAGCGAATGGAAATAGTAAATAAATTGATAGAAAAATGGTAAATGCTTGACCAGATCATTCCGGAATTCCCCCAATATGATAAGGGAACGGAGGCCCTGGCGACACGCCAAATCTCACATGGGAATATGATACCCATCATTCCATTCCTTCTATTCACATCTCACTCAGTAGGGCTCTATTTTTTTATTTTTTATTTTTTATTATTTTATTTTGTATTTATTTATTAATGATTCAATCACTTGGATACCCATATTGGAGAAACTCATCTAACCCTTCTCCTTCCATGAAATTTCCACACCAATGCCTATCAATCAATAGTCCCATATCTGAGTTGGGGGATTCTCCACCTGTATTGATGTGGGGTGACTTCTCCCTAGTGTCTGGTTGTGATCAACCTATGCGTCCTACATCTCTTCACATAGAGGGGGAAGAGAGAATTCTTGTAAAACTAAGTAAATAAAAAGATTTTTTTTTTTTTACAGGTAGGCCCGCTTGCACGCAAAAAACCTACGCCGTCCAATCGAGTAGGATGGTGTAAAATTTATGCGCCCATACAGGCTTGCCCACCTAGATACTGTGTCCTAAATAAAAAGACTATATACTGCGCTTGTGTATGATATTCCTCAGAGCGAACATACGGTTCTTCCATTTCGAAAACTACTATGGAGGATTTGTTCGGAAATACGGTGATTCAGATTCCGATTCAGTTTCCAACAACTTGACGAATAAATTTTATGGAAAAAATAAACTATTTTAAGTTTCTAAACTTAGATCTAATCATTCAGTAGTACATAGTCTATGCTCTTTCTAATGGATGTGTTTATTGTATAATATAAGGATATTAATTTTTGGTAGAAGAAGGTTACAACTACTTTTAACCATGAGATACAATGAAAAAGAATTTTGCATTGGACTACGTATACATTCGATGATACATCCCCAACCATATAATTTCACATTTAATGATCAGTAATGATTATGACATCATTGTACCAAAAGCAAATAGCCTTAATTTATACGTGTACCTGTTTTTCTTAAGTGGATATTATGGTGTAGCTTTATTAAGAAACATTCTAAATGTTCTCCCATTTGTAGACATGTTTTCAATGTGACTACTTTACTTCAAATAATTGTGGCCTAGTAGTTACTAAATCATGTAACCGAGCCCTGTGGATGTTCTGCATCAAATGAACGTCTTTTTCCCAATGAGCTTAGTCAATAATATAAATATTTCGCAATTAAATTCTTTCATCTTCTATTATACTATGAATATAATAATATTGAATATCAATATGTTTTGTCCTATTATATAGATGGATGGATTCGTAACTAAAAATAAGGTACAATGACTATCACAATGAAATTGTATCCTTCTCGCACACTTTGGAACTCTCAATGTAACCTATTTAATCATATTATTTCTTTAAATGCATGATTTAACATGTACTCAGCGTCTATTGGAAAACACCAAAATTGTAACCTCGATGACCAAGGGCAACAATTCTTAAAAGTAAAAACAAACTCAATAGTAGACCTTCTTTTTTTAAAATAACCTGTAAAGTTTGAATCAACATAACTGAGAACTTTCAAAACGATCCTAATATACCAAATACCACCATTACCAATTCTCTAAAAATAATGAAGGATCCACTTCAAAGCAGTATGGTGATCAGGGTAAGGATTAGCTATGTACATGCCTATAGCTCCTAAGTGTGCCATGTCAAGTTTGGTGCTAACTATATGAAGCATGAGTATCTGTAACTAAATAATATCATATTTTTGACATCCACCTACTTCGGTGTTAGGATATTATTTCGATGACAACTTTATTTGCACATAAAATGGGGTACTAAGTAATTTAGCCTTTTAAATATTGAAGTAGTCTAGAAACTTTTATGCTTAACTCTTTTGAGTTAAACAAATTATCAAGTTCTTCCTTTCTCTAAGTACACACATCAAACAAATTGATTGAAGACTATCAAATCTTACGTCTCAAATTCCCCATCTAACTGAGCTTTCAGAGTTGCAATATTATCTTTATTTGATCATACAATAATTATATCATCGACAAAGAATAACGAGATGACAAAGTTTCCATCATCATAATTTCAAAATAAGTACAATTGGCAACTTCATATGTACAACTATTCAAGCTTAACATAAAAGAAGTAAATTACTTGTAGAAAAACCTCTAATGTATGTTTCTACCCATACAATGATTCCTTTACTTACAAACTAATTTTTCTCATCTTGCTCAACAACACCCTTGGAAATTGTCTTATTTTAAAGAACCATTAAAGAAAATAGTTTTCACATTTAATTACTTTTATTTCTAAATCAAGAGTAGTCGTCATGGCCAAAAAACTCTAATAATGGTCATCTGTATAATAAGAAAAACAAATTCATCAAAATCATTACTTGTGTTTTGTGCATAACCTTTTAAAACCAATAGAACTTTGTATATTTTTATCGTCTCATCTAAACTTTATTTGTTCTTAAAGATCCACCAATTGTTAATGGCTTTTCACAACTCTGGCTATTTGATAAGGTCCCATGTTTTACTTTTTTATAGGCCTTCATCTCTTTTTCCACGGATGCTCTCCATTAACTAGCCTCATCAACGTCACATTCGTCACAATAAGAATTAGTCTACCCTGCACTAGAGGCAAGCATAGGAGAAGATACAATGCTTAAGCCTCACAGGATCCATTTTAGGTTTATCAAATCTTCTCAATTCAACATAACCTAAATATGTTTTTTAGCTCTTCGACAATTTCAAGATCTCAGTTCTGATTATCATCTCACTAGTTATCATGGTTGCTTCCTATATAACAGTACCTACATATGGTACTTCTTTCTTTTTCTACATTGAATTTCACTAAAAATAACATATTGATGACATGAATCTTGTGATAACTAGGATCCCACAATCTGTAACACTTCATACCTTTTATATACCCAAGAGGAAAAACTTTATTAATTTCACATCCAACGTAGTTCTCTTTTCTGTGGAATCTTTTACCACATCATAAACTATGAATGAAATAATAATTAAATATTTTACATGTCTAAACCTCAACCAATGTCTTGTACTCTAGCGCAACGCTAATTGACCTGATACTTAAGATAACAGTTTGAATTTCTTTTGCCAAAAAATACTACTCTAACCCATTAATACTCAACATAGACCTAACATGGTCCACAATGGTAAGATTCATGCTCTCAACCCCATTTTATTAAGATTTCTTATGAAACGTGAACTGCATAGAAAAATCACACTCACTACAAAAGTTATTATTTTAACTAGAATAAAATTATCCCTCTATAATTTCTTGGTCATTTGATGCTCTAACCATTTTCTAATTTTCTACTAAAACCTTAAACGTTTTAAAACAGTTGAAGGCATCTTATTTTTTTTTAAGTTTATAAACCGGTAGTTTTCTTGAAAAATCATCAACAAAAGTGACTAAATATGCCAGCAACCCTCATAGAGACACGTGATACTCACCTGCCTAAGTGAGGTAATTCTGAATCCTTACTTATAGTGGTAGATAAACCAAAGTACGATGTATTTTGTTTTCTGAACATGAATGACTCTTAAAAATATAAATGAAGAGATTTTAAACAAGGTAAGATATTTTTAACAAGAAGTACCATATGTCCACATTCACTCATGTGGTTCAAAAGCATAAATCATATAACTCTACAAAATTAGCCTCTTAAAATTGGTTTTCCAACAAGTCTATTCAAATTGCCTACTAGCTCTCTTTTTGCATCTATTAGTGCTCCCTTTAAATTTGTTATTTCAATCATTAACTCCTATAAACATGAAACTTTGCTAATCAAAATTTTTCGAAGGATAAAACAGTCTTTCTGAGGCCAAAAACATTTCTAACATTTGGGATTGTGCATGTCACTCCATTGATTATCATGATTGTCATGTCTCTAACTCCCACTATTCTACATGAGTTACCTGCATCATATGGTTGGTATTTATAGAATCAGTCCGTATGTAGAATTAATGAAACGACACCCTTAAATTAAATAGCTGATATTGCAAAAGTTATCCCTATCTATAAACACTTCTCCATCCTCAAATAAATTTTTTCTACTAGATTTTCTTGAGAATCACTGGAACCATGCTTCTCATTAGGATCATATTTTGAACTTCTAGTTTCCTTCTTGGGCCTTCCAATCATTCTTCACAAGCTTATTTATCCCGATCTACAAACA